TGTAAACAGGAAGTGTAAACCATCAGGGTCAACAACACTCTATTGTTCACCTGATGAGTTCTATCTTTAGCAACAGAATGGAAACAAAGATTCATCACATTTAAGATAAATGCACCTGCAACTACATCTCTGTTATTGTGCAGTAATTAATTATCCATCACTTCAACTAGATTGTTTTCTCTTCCAGGGCCAAAGCTGATGAGAAGACAGATCGCCATTTGAATCCCTTGAAAGTCCTCCACAGAGTGGACGAGCTGATGGCAGAGGACAGCATCATTGTTGCAGATGGTGGAGATTTTGTTGGCAGTGCTGCGTACATAATGAGACCAAGAGGACCTATGCGTTGGCTAGATCCAGGTTAGACATCGTAGACCTAATGACGATTGGTTGATGAATAACTGTTTTAATGAAAATAGTCGACTTTTGGTTGGTAAAATGTAGTCAAGTAGAGTTCATTTCTGTAGGTCCAATTTGCATGTTGGCCTTTATCAACAGCCTGTTTGATAGAAATGTATTGGGTGGTTAATCCGTTTTATTTACAGTCATAGTGACTCTTCTTCAACATTTCCCTTTTAGGCGCGTTTGGAACTCTTGGAGTTGGAGGAGGATTTGCGCTCGGTGCCAAACTCTGTCGTCCAGATTCTGAGGTAAATGATTGAACCCAGGAAACAGAATTGTCTGATCATCTAATCATATTAAGGCATGCTTTATGAATGAATTAATACTACTTTTTGTGTTTTTCAGGTGTGGATAGTATATGGTGATGGTTCCTTAGGATACAGTGTTGCAGAATTTGACACATTCACCAGACACAAGGTAAAATCCTCTTTAGTACTTCCAAAATATAATTCAACTCCTTACTGTCCTGTGAAGATTTTTATTTTTTAAATCTAAAATATATGTTTACCACAATTTTAGAGTACTTTTTGTCTGTTTCTCCGCAGACACCAATTATAGCTGTTGTGGGAAACGATGCATGTTGGAGTCAGATATCCAGAGAGCAGGTTCCCATACTCGGCAGCAACGTTGCATGTGGTCTTGCATTTACAGGTAAATATTCTACACCAAATGCTGTTTTATAGTTGTTGTGACCAAGCGGCAACCTCCGGTGTTGAAAAATGAAGCCAATGTGGAAGTGCAAAATTTGCTTGATGCTGGCTCCAAGATCCCAGAAGTCACATACACACTACATTAAAACAAAGCCTGTTTTTACAGCAGAATTTAACATGTTTACAGCCTGGTTCAAAAAACAAAATTGATTTTATTAGTAATTGTCATCATGGGCACACACTGTAAGGGGGGGGACACAGACATACAGATGTAGATTTTATGAACGATACCAGTTATCCATAGTTATGCCCATAGCTTACATGATTGACAGGTGGGTGCAATGTAACGGTTTGTCAAGAGGCTTAAAACCCACCTCAGTCTGTAGTTAGGTTGACTGAAAGTTAGGTTGAGACAGTTGAGCCTCCGGAGCCCCCCTGCCATAAAAGGTAGATGACGTCACTCAGGCTTCATCCATTAATATTTACAGTCTATGGTTGTAACAGCTTAAAGCGTATATACATGTCATAACGCACACTGAACGTTTATACACATCCTGTATGTATGAAGACTCAGTGGTTATCAACTGGTTAATCATCATTTCTTTGTCTTTCCACAGATTATCATACAGTGGCAGATGGTTATGGGGGTAAGGGTTACCTTGTAGGACGAGAAGACGAAGACAAGCTCAGTGACATCATCAGGGAGGCTCAAAGGGAAAGCCAGGAGGGCAAGGCTATACTTCTCAATGTTCTCATAGGGAAAACCAACTTTAGAGAAGGCTCCATCTCTGTATAGAGACTCTGTGACTTCTTGAAACAGAACATTCTTCTTCTTCTTCTTCTACTTTTTCATTGACTGTCATGCTCTATGGAGGTTTATAGAGAAGAGGGAAACACTGTTGGATGCTGTAGAGCCCAACTCTGACTACACCTATGCTAATCCTTTGTGCCCTTAAAGCCATATTTCACTTCCCCTTTGAAAGTCCATGAATGGTCATCTGCAAAGAACTACTTCCTTCATCAGACTCATAAAAACAATATCACTAACACATCTTCATAAACCTGCAGCCGTGGCTACAATATGTCTACATCATAAACTCACAGTTTTCAGAATATTTATAGACATAATGCAAAGGGACTTTTTATTTATGATATTATACATTTCATATGAAACTCTGGCTGCCAGCCTTGAATCAGAAGCCTTTTTCTCTGCATCATCATACTTTAAGGTTCATATCGTAGTTTATACGATTTGCTGCATTTTTTTTTAAGGAGAGGAGTAAAAAGTATAACACTTTCTTTGTGTCAGGACTTTTCATCTTCAAGGGCTTTGGGTTAGATTTTCCACATTAAAACAGCCTGCTATAACTTGAGATAATGATGGCAAATACATCGTTTGTGAGAGAGCACTGGTTAAACTTCTCAAATTCAACCAGAATTCCTTTTTCTCCTCTTATCAAATAAACAAAGAGCCTTTTTTTATTAGGACAACGTGAAATCTTACAGGTGCAATATTGTTTATCCGCACATGATTAGGAATCAATTTGTGTTGAAGTGAAATATTTTTTGAATGTATAAGATTGAATGAAGGTATGCCTTATTATATGTGATTGTACATTGAATACATTGATATGTATCGGTTGAGGGTGTCTGCTGATTCAGTTGTGAATTTAAATTATATTTAATCTTAACTTGTATAAATTGATATGGGCTACCATTTTAAATGGGCCTTTACAAAATATTCATTGCACTGTAATGATAACATAATGTACTCAGAGATAAAAATTGTGGATCATGTCACTCCATTAAACTGTTTTTTTTTAGTAATGTAAGGACGGTATGTATTTTAAACTATTAATCATCGAATGTACATTTGGATGAATTCTCAAATAAATGATTGGACTTTGAATGATCAAGATGATGGATGGATTTAATTTTTTAACTTTCATTAGTGAGCTTAAAAAAGTAGAGTGAGACTGAAGGCTGTGCATTAAAGGAACTAATGGGACAGTAACATCTGCTTTTCTTAAACATTTAGTATAAAATGAATGTCTATATTGTTAACATATTTTACTTTTCTCTTCATATTGCTAGCACTCCATACAACTTGTTGAGTTGCAAATCTGGATCTTTTAGCATTTTGTGTGGACTTTGGTCCCACTTTTAAGACTCCTGTGAGGAACTCTTTATGTGGATATTTGGTGACCCTATGGACTCGTTGGTACTGTACCTCTTAGTTCCTTTCTCTGATCTTGTACTTGCGTCAGTAAGGTTTTCTGTCAAAAAATCTTGTTCCGCTTTCTATTCACAGGAAATGTATACGTTACTTGGAATATTTTCTGTTGAAAATGTAAAAAGGGCCTTTTTTTTTTTTTTCAACATGCTGAAAATCTTCTTGCATGTCACTGAACATGTGGCAGTGTTTACTAAAAAGATAAATACTATATGGAAATAGTCAATCTTGTCACTGATGGAAAATTTAATTTTGTAGGTCATAAAGAGGTATATCTATTTATTTGTTTCATAACCTGTTTAAAACTTCTCACAGGGGTTTTACGTCATGTGGCTATTGATGAAAAATGTGATATTAATGTCAGAGATCTTAAAAGAAGATTCACGGATAGTGTAAATATCTCCTGCATTAAGCATCATGTTACTATAGTCTCAGATGTGAATTTCATAAGAACTTGTCACTAGGACATGTAATGGCTTACTCTAGTGGAGCAGAGATACAAACTTTACCACTGTGGGAAATGTTTTAAGTAGCATCATGAGTAACTTAAAGCTACCTAACTTGTATTCCATTACTGCATTAGAGGAGTTGTTTTAATTACGTATAACGAAACACATCTTGGTGCGTGTAAGACAAAACACTGATGTATGGCCAACGTTATTGACATGAAGCTGTGACTTTTGCTCTAAATACTTTGCAAATGCAGTTTTTATTTGAAACAGCAGGTGGCAGGATAGTAGAACTTTTACTGAGGAGATCTATGCTGACGTGGTTCTATTGAGCATAAGTTATTGAATGGATTCAAACAGGGGAAACATAACATCTGATAAATCATTTGCCTATTGATTTATTGACATGTGCTAGGAGAATCACAACAACATTTTGATTGATGTAAAATCTAATAGTCTACGTTTCTTTTTTTGGAACCCCTAGGTTTCAAATAAAGTTTGTTTGCTGGGCCATAAATGAATTTCTGATTATAATTGTTTTCTGTAACTTATATAGATCATGATGTCTAATCAGAGGCTTTTAAACATTGGTTGATTTGTCAGTAGGTCTAGGCCTTTTACATAACTTGGACGTGTGAATGATGCTTCATTAGAAAGTGAAAAACGTGACGTCCCACACTCCAAAAAGTTTGAAGTCTGCACACTAATTTCATGACTACAAGCATTACAGATTCAGTGAGCAACAGTGCTGAAAACAACTGTAACTCATGAATACTGTACTTTACATTATCTGCTGTATAGCCCCTCATTCGTGGTTTACGTCAGAGTGCTTTGCTGCATTTGAGTGTTCGTCGAAAATCCACGCTCCCTAGCGTTACTTAAAAATGGCATTGCTATATTTTTTATGCAGTGGAGTTAAAATATATATATATATATATATATATATATATATATATATATATATATATATATTCAAAATGCACTGCCATTTAACCATTTAATATCATAGAACACTGCCTTTAAAAAATGCCTGAGTGTCTATGGTCTTGGAATACTTGCTCATACAAATTCCTTTACTTTTTTGTTAACGGTGTGTGCTGTCCTATTCTGTCATGTTAAAAAAAAATACTTGTTTTATTTTACTGACGGATAGGGCTGATTGGAATTGAGACATTCTCATAGAGACCATTCCCCCTGTGGGACAATAAAGGTGAATAGTAAATCAGTTTTTCGGGGAGTACATGAAGGCATCATAAGACCGGGCGCACACGCACATCACAGCAGGCGGTGACTTGAACACTGAAGTGAAGCTGCCGGACTAAGTGTCGGGGTTATAAAGGTACTGAGGGTGAATTAAGTGACATAGGATTGTTTTGCTTCAGAGGACTTTCTAAATCAGTTTTATAAAGCAGTTATTACTCTACTCTCAGGATGTTAGGTAAAACATAGGAAGTGTCGTGCTTTTAAAAACCTCGGAGATAAGTTAGCTCAAAGCATTAAACCAAACCAACGCTAGCTTAACCGGAGTTTGTAGTTAACGCAAACCAGGTCTGTGTTTTATTCTCTGGTGATACAGTCCCAGTTAACTAGCCTAACTCCGACGCGAGCGTTAGTATCTGGTTAGCTTTTACATAATTCAATTAAAAACTCTTGAGTCATAGATTCACAAGTTTTTAACGTGGCTCACGGTTTCACTCAATCGACTACTACTGTCTGACGATCAAAAGGATTTCTTTTGGAAGATAAATAAACACTGGACCTTAACTAACCTATCATTTGGTAAGTATTTTTAACGTCTGTTTACCTTTACTACAGCTTAAGAGGTCACGTTGTATCTGTTTGTTTTTGGCAAAGATACTCCTAGGTGTCTCTGTGCTCACTCAGACTTGCTGTTCAGCAGATGGGACATCTTAATGTAAGAGTTATGTAACAACATTTAAAAACCCCTAAAGTTGCTTAACTAAAACGACCTAATGTCCCACTGTCGATGACAGTTTCTGGAACAATAGCCTGACAGTGAAATGCCACACCGCATGGCTCATCAGGCAAGCTGTGTGCCAGAATGGAATTCTTTACATTATTTCCAAAATGTTCAATACATTTCCAGAGAAGACCTGCAGGCAGCACTATGTTTCATTCACCAAGAAACTACGACCTGGCATGCTTCTCTCAATTATACAATTGAAATACTTTCAGGTTTTTTAAAAGGGGGACCTATAAATTGACAACCAACAACATGATTTGTGTTTGTGATGTTTATTGTTAGTTTAACAAGTCATCAGAGTTAACATGTGGTTGATCATGTTTCTGTTACAGGAGCTGAATGGCCTCCGTTGTTGCAGTGAAAACTGAGAAGCGACCTGCAGCTGATTCTCAGGATGCAGACTCAAATGCAAAAAAACCAAGGTAAGCTCAGGTGCTGTTTGAGCCCGCTACACCATCTGTCTGTAACACATACAACAGGGCTGCTTTAATCTTGAGTTTCTTAATTATTGTTGCTCCTTAAAATGTTGGTTTTAGTATCACATTAAATATTTTAGCATTTAAAAATAGTTTGTTTAATATTCATGCTGGCAGAAAGATTTGAGAAGCGTCATCTTCGCACCAATGATCATGCATCCACTTTCTGCCCCAAAGGAAACTCCTGCCCAGCTTGAAGACAAAGCGAGCCCCTGAGCTTGTCCTTGTGATTGGCACAGGGGTAAGCTCTGCAGTGGCCCCTCAGGTCCCTGCTCTCCGCTCCTGGAAAGGCCTCATCCAGGCCTTGCTTGATGCAGCAAATGACTTTGACCTACTAGAGGAGGAAGAGAGTCGGCGTTTCCAGAAGCACATGCAAGAAGATAAGAATTTAGTGCATGTGGCCCATGACCTCATTCAGAAACTTTCCCCGGTAAGTCTGCCTGGGCCCTTTTTATTACCTTCCTTTACCACAACATCCTGTCGCACATATACAAACACATGGCAGAGAGACTGCCAGCACACTGTCTTCCCCTCACCTAGGGACATTTTGTTCAACTTGTATTGATTGAGATAAGAAATCAGTGTATCTCATTAAAATACCTTAAGCAAACAGCCCACGGGTTAGTGCTTCTTTTTCAAAGAATTAATTATTTGCAAAAAATCTTTTGAGTCAGTTTATGTGGAATCAGTGAAGCACCCGAAGCAGGCGGTGTTTCCCATTTCTGCTTTTTGCGTACCAAAGGATCTCGCATAAATAAAATAAAAACCTCTCTAATGAAAGTTGGTCAGCTGAACCAAATCAATCAATCAGTCAATTTTTATTTGTATAGCGTCAACTCATAACAAGTGTTATCTCAAGACACTTTACAAAAAGCAGGTAAAAGACCTTACTTATTGTTATATTACAAAAAGCAGGTAAAAGACCTTACTTATTGTTATGTTACAAAAAGCAGGTAAAAGACCTTACTCATTGTTATGTTACAAAGACCCAGCTTAATCCAAAGAAGTGTTGTATTTTTTAACCCTTCTCAGCCTTCCAAAACAAATGCTTGAAGTGTATAAGCAGCATATGTTATGACTCATGCATCAAAATGTAGTTGTTAATAAGAGAAATTAAGCTATGTATCCTTTTTATGTGGGCGGCTCATGAATTTGCAGTTGCGATTTATGTGTATGATTTCTCATATTGAAAAGCAATTTAACTCATATTATTGAGCAGTCTTATTCTTCAAATTTCTTCAGAACCAATACTGATAAATCGTTGTTCTTGTACACTTAAGGAGTCTTATCCTGTTGTGTATGACATTCTGAGCAAGGCTTAACATCAGGTAGCACTTTCAAATTTGATGAACCATCAAGTCCATAATATTATCACGTCCTTCTTGCCAATCAAACTAACATATTCACCAAGAACCTTCAAAGGGCATCACCGTGGCTGACAAACTGTCACAGGCTCCAGAAAATGTGCTGTGACTGGGAGGAATTTGTTCAATATGAGTGAGAATCTCTGGCTCTTATTACAGAATTCTAGATGTTGATTCTTGAAAAAACCTTGTGAGAAGGTTTTTGGATTTGGACTGGTTTGCTCTGGAGCAGGGCTGGCAGATGGGAGCCTTAAAACCGTTTGCATCCTGTGTTAGTCATGTCTCATCGCACCTTTGACATTGATAAAAAGCTCTTTGTTTCAGCCTGCTGCCTGTTGTGACAAAGGGAACAAACAGCGCTTTTATGGCTTTATCCATCATGTTCATTTCAATCCATAGTTGTGCAGACACTAGCTTAATGCTGTTGGCTACAAGCACAACAGGCTTTAGCATGCTGAGGAAAAAAAAAACAAGTATAGACTAATGTGAACCAGCAGCCCCCAGCACAGATTTGCAAGCAAGCATGCATTTGTCGCGATTTCATTCACAAAAAACAACTCGCAAATTTCCCTTAAGGCAATCAAATTTGAGCTAAGTTAATGTGAAATACAAATATGCTTAATATGTGACTTTAATGTTCTTCAAAGCACATCTATTATTAAACCATGTGTGGTTTAATCAAAATATTCTGTGAAAAGTGAAATATGAGGGGGGGGTGGGCCCTCAGTCCCGTTTATTCAGGTACCAATGCTGTAAGAGTTTAACCTAATTTCACGGAAAGTAGCGGAATTATAGTAGACTGCGAGCAAACAGCAGTGGGTAATGAGGCTAATCTGAAGTTAAATCTCAGCAGAATGCGTTCGTTGTAAATCTTCTCACACATTTGACCTCTACAAAAACAAGGCTAACTGCAACTCTGCTGACTCGTTTACTTTCAGGGTGAGGAATATAAACAACAACTTCCAAAAGGGGTCAGTGGAGGAACACTTTCCCTCAATCTATTTATACACATATTGGTGATGATCAGAGAGTTTTAAATGATAAAGCCCTCTGCATACCTTGTTGTTATAGTGACTTTCAGTTAACTTACCCCTACAGAGCTGTCCTTGTGATGTAACCATGCCCGTCTGTGTAAAAAGATGATGCATCTCTCCTTATACTGTATTATGGAGTATCATCAGAGCTGTCAATAGTCAGCATCTGTGAGACCACTTCTTCTACTTTTCATCAACTTTATACACGTTGACTTTAGGGCCTTCCAGAGAGAGCATAAACTTTTATTTTAAATAAATAAACACATGTTTGGGTTTTGGATGAATATTTAGAAACCGGAGTTGTTTACATACACTTGTTGTGATTATTACATAAGTCCAAGGACATTGTGATTACGCTGTAGACACTAGATGTGGATAATGAGCTTCTTCCTGTGGAAAAGACTGCTACTGTTCAGCCCATTAGAGCTGTAATCTCTGGAAGCCAGCAGAGCATTTCCCTGCACCAGGATCACCTTGCTCACTGCATCTTTGCACTACCTTTTGCTATTCTTAGCTGATTGGCTCTTCCCGCATAAGATTTAGACCATGTAGTCCTGTCCCTAAATCTCTAAGCAGACTGAGTTGGTGTGTACGTTACTACTTGAAGAGCTCTGGGATGGATCGGAGAGGCTGTTTGATACAGAACAAAGAAACCCTTGAGCTTAGATGTGGTTAGACACACCCTGAAATCTCACGGAGAATAATAGTTTGGGCTCTGTGGAAACCACTTGGATTCCTGCAAGAAACAGAGCAGGAGGGTGGAGTGGTGCTGAAGCATGTTCAAACAAAATGTGATTTAAAAAAAATGTTGGAACATTCTTCTGTCATGCTTGACGCCAGAGGTACATCACTATTTGAGAAGCTAGCACTGATCTAAGTTACAGCTTAAGGCATGCAAAGTACACAAGCCAGAATCCTTTATATCTTGGGTGACTACAAAAAGAAGTGCTGATTTGGCTACACATCATTTGCACTCTGGTATTAGGACATAAGCAAAAACGTATTACAGCCCTGCAAAAAATGTCATTTTCTGTGAAACGTTTACAGAAGAGGTTAGTTATTGAATCAGCCCCTCAGATGGTTAACACAGCATTCAAAGTCAGAATAACAGTACATTATCTTTACAGTAGCATGTGCAGGTTGTGTTTAACTTCAGTTTGATCCCGTTTCAGTAGTAAATGCGTCACGACGCAGAAGTAAGATACTCTCAAAGTTCTGTTTCCTTGGTGACTATGAAAGGCAGGCCGGTTTTTAAAAAAACAGTAAAGCAAATAATATTTTTAAATAGTCAACTTCCTCTTGATAAATGAGATCACCGGGCTGAACTTCCCCATTTCCTCATACTGCTTTCAGTGCTGTGTAAAGGTGCTAACAATTGATCGAGTGTATGTTTGAAGAGTTCATATAGACTTCTGTTCTGAGTTCAAACTTTCTTGTTGTCTTAAGTTGTAAAGAAGTGATCATTTCCAGGATTTTGTCGAGGCCTGACCAAATCTTGTACCTGTATATAACATGTTATTTTTTTATAATAATTTTTGTGTTAGACTTAAACTTCCAGATTTAAGACCTGCAGTTGTGTGAGAACAACCAACTAGGTCATTGCCTACTAAATATACATGAACAGTAAATGAAATAACTCTGAGTCAGTTATCCATTCCCTTTTTGTTATTTATGATGTTTTTATTTTTATTTTACAGAGAACTGGGAACGTGCGATCAACATTTTTCAAGGACTGTCTATACGAGGTGTTTGACGATTTGGAGTGCAAGATGGAGCACGCGGGGAAACATTTACTGCGCTCTGTGCTGCAGTTGATGGAGAGTGGAGCCCTGGTCCTCACTACTAACTTTGACAACCTGTTGGAGATCTATGCTGCTCACCAGGACACCAAGCTGGAGTCTCTGGACCTGACGGATGAAAAGAAGGTAAACAGGGTTTGGATTATCTTTTTTCTGCCACAATACATCCGGGCAGCTTTTTTCAGTGCAAAGGTCATTTTATGTTTCACTCATATTGCTCCTTGTTTCAGGAAGTTTTGCAGCAACGTACAGTAGATGATACTTTGAACTGAAGGAGTCATTTGTGTCTCGCAGGTGGGAGAAGGTTAAAGTTCTAGCCATTACTCAGCTGCTGTCGAATTTTATTGATTGAACAATATTTACTTTTGGCTTAAGACTTCACTGCAGGGTTAGCATGCTTTTTCAGAGATAAGTCTGTGTCTTTTCCTGACTAGAAACTCTGAAATCTGAATTGTAAAATCCTGTCTGTCTTGTCCCTTTGCATTTACAGTTGCTTTGATTACATTTAAATAAACCACAAACTTGAAAGGGTTAGTCAGTGTTTTGTTAGAGACTTGTTGCCTGCCTCTCAGTCCTGGTATTTATGCCCCGTCTCCATCAGGGCTAATATCCTTTCACTGCTGTTTACTGATTTTACTCCCTGCCCAGCCAGAACAGGATTGAGTGCAATGGACTGTTAACTCTGTGTGTGTGTGTGTGTGTGTGTGTGTGTGTGTGTGTGTGTGTGTGTGTGTGTGTGTGTGTGTGTGTGTGTGTGTGTGTGTGTGTGTGTGTGTGTGTGTGTGTGTGTGTGTGTGTGTGTGTGTGTGTGTGTGTGTGTGTGTGTGTGTGTGTGTGTGTGTGTGTGTGTGTGTGTGTGTGTGTGTGTGTGTGTGTGTGTGTGTGTGTGGTGTGTGTGTGTGTGTGTGTGTGTGTGTGTGTGTGTGTGTAGGTATTGGAGTGGGCTCAGGAGAAACGGAGGTTAAGTGTTTTGCATATCCACGGCGTTTACACCAACCCCAGTGGTATTGTGCTGCACCCTGCTGGCTACCAGAATGTACTGAGGAACACTGAGGTCATGGTGAGTCCGGGGAAACTTCAGGTTTTGTTTCTGATGAACAACTTTTTCTGCAACAGATTCTCTACTAAATGCCATAAGTATAAAGCCATCAACCATTTCATTTTACTATATTAAGGCAAGGGTTGTGTAATTCAATGTGTGCTGTGCTGCTGCATTTTGATTCTTCTTTGTTTTTGGTGTTGTAATAAACACAACTGCTGGTTTCAACAGCGGGAGATCCAGAAGCTCTACGAGACCAAATCCTTTGTTTTTCTGGGCTGCGGCCGTACGGTGGACGACACCACCTTCCAGGCTCTTTTCTTGGAGGCGGTCAAGCACAAGTCGGACCTGGAGCACTTCATGCTGGTGCGGCGCGAGGACGTGGGCGAGTTCAAGAAGCTGCGGGACAACATGCTGGACAAGGGCATCAAAGTCATCTCCTATGGAGACGAGTACGCTGACCTGCCTGAGTACTTTGAGAGGCTAGCCAATGAAATCTGCAACAGAGACGTGTCCACCAACGGCTGGGGTAAGGAGGGAATCCAGTCACTGATAATTGTTTTTCTCTTGAGCCACATCAGCTCCAGAGACAAATGTTGAACAAGTCAAAGCAAATCAAAGCGGCCAGGTGAAAAATATGCTGTTGACTTTCATGATGGAAGATCGTGTTAATCTTCACACCATTTTCTAATTTAGTCATAGTCTGCTGACGAAAATGTCCTTTATATTTAGTCAGACATTAGCCATTTGGTATTTAGTCAATTAGTCACTGACTAAAATTGCACATCATTTTAGTTGACGAAAAAAGAAGATATTTTAGTCAACAAAATCAGATGCAGGCTTTTTTTTTTTTTTTAAAGATTTATTTTTGGCTTTTCATGCCTTTAATTCAGAGGGAGGACAGTGGATAGAGTGGGAAACCAGGGAGAGAGAGTGGGGAATGACATGCGGAAGGGGGCCACGGGTGGAAGTGAACCCGGGCCTACTGCTCGAGACGAGAGTCTCAACACATGGGACGCGCGCGCTGCCACTGCTCCACCAGCGCCCCGCAAGCTTTTATTTTGATTGAAAAAAATCAGTCTGAAATTAAACTACTATAGAATAGAAAGTTTATTTATAGTGTCTCGACTAATTGAAAGAACAATATTTAACAATTAGCCGAAGCTAAAAGCAAGTTAATCTGTCATGTTCTCAATCTAATTGTTGGCCCAAGACAAAGTATTGAGTCATTTTCTTTAAATGCCTCTTCTGGAATAGCAAATTTCTTTTTTTTTTTACCTCCCATAACCTGATTTGCCTCTTATATATAATCCTTTTTTTCTTTTTTTTAATCTTCATCTTCAGGCTCTCCCTCACAAAATGGGGAAGAACAGCAGAACGGATTCAACACACAGAAGAGCCTTCTTCAAGGTTAGGACTGAATGCTCCTCTTTGGCTTCAGGCAGTGGCAACTTCCAAGAAACATTTCCAGAGTAAAACAATAAAGCTCTGTCATGACTCTTGTATTCTTACTGCTTGCTGATAGAAGTATGTTCTTGATTTTTCACCATCAGAGACCTGTTGGGTCTTCTTTTTCCACAGATACAGCTGACTTTGCTGGATTGCACGCGGGGCAGTCAGTTTGCAACTGTTTGATTGATGCATTGTTTCACAGCTGTTACTTAACTCCCCTCCTTCTCTTTTTCTCCCCCCCCCCCCCACACACACACACACACACACACACACACACACACACACACACAATAAATTTCTTGACAGACACACGGTCGGATCAGTATCACTTCCGTTCCCTCCATTGACAGATTGGTCTTCTTTGAATAGTATTAACTAGG